CATCAGCACCTGTCATGGCTCTTGTGAGGAGCACGTCACGGCGGTCTCTGGCGCGTGTGATTACATAGTCTAAGAGGTGCCAATGCTTTGACCGGGGTGCTTCCATGATGTCTTGAACTTGTTTTTCTGGCGGAAGAGCGTGTTGGTGATGACAAGGTTGTGTTCCGCACATTTGGTGAGAAGCAGGATGCCATTCGGGTTGTGAGGAGCATGTCATGGCGGTCTATGTATATAATCGTCTAATGACCTATTCATGTGACATATAACTAGTGCAGGGTTTTTTGTTTTTTTTTTTGTGCCAGGAGCGATTTGAAAAATTGCAAGTCACTCCTGGTGTGAGAGAACTGGCCATCTGCAAGGACGTTGCTGAGGTGTTCCTGCAAGTATCTCTGCAGATCTTATAAAACTATTTATTGATTTAAGGCGTTGACGTGCTGACTGATATCCAAACAGGGGATTTGCAGCATGGAGTTAGGGTAATTATTTATTACATTTATTATTAATTGTACCAAATTATAGCAGACACCAAGAACTGGTAAGCCCTGGCCCTTGTGTGTTCTAACTGGAGGTCAGCTGTGACCAGCAGTGCTGTGGAATTCAAAGAGGCGCGAATGGAGGGCGAAAGGGAGAGGCATGCCCAGAATAAGGCAAGTAAGTAAGTAAGTAGCAATCAGCCTGTTTGTGTATGTTTACACACTCTCACACACACATATACATATCCGGGAGCCTTTCTGGACTGCAGGAAAACATCAGCCATGCCCTCCCTCTCAATAATTATATTATTATTGAGAGCTGACTTTTGGTGCCTTTTTTTACATGCATCCAAGCCTTCTCTTTGCCCAATGAAACCCTACAAACCTCCATAAATAATGATAAATATCATAACATTGATATAATAAATTATTATATTACATTATTTTATTATTATTATTATTATTATTATTATTATTATTATTATGTTGAGACCTGACTTTTGGTGCTTTTCTTTACGCGCTTCCAAGGGGCGGCTTTCTCTTTGCCCAAGGAAACCGTACACACCTCCATAAGTAATAATAAATGTTATTATAATATTGATATAATGAAATATTATTTTGCATTATTATTTAAAGTATATTATTATTATTATTATTATTATTATTATTATTATTATTATTATTACGTTGAGACCTGGCTTTTGATGCCTTTCTTTACTTTCTTTTCAATATTATTATAATATTGATATAACTAATTATTATATTACATTATTATTTAAAGTATATTATTATTATTATTATTATTATTATTATTATTATTATTATTATGTTGAGACCTGGCTTTTGGTGCTTTTCTTTACGTGCTTCCAAGGGGCGGCTTTCTCTTTGCCCAAGGAAACCCTACACACCTCCATAAATAATAATAAATATTATTATAACATAGATATAATAATTTATTACATTATTATTTAAAGATTATTATTATTATTATTACGTTGAGACCTGGCTTTTGATGCCTTCCTTTACTTTCTTTTCAATATTATTATAATATTGATATAATAAATTATTATATTGCATTATTATTTAAAGTATATTATTATTATTATTATTACTACTACTATTACTATTATTATTATTATTATGAGATCAGGCTTTTATTATTATTATTATTATGTTGTTGTTGTTGTTGTTGTTATTATTATTATTATTATTATTATTATTATTATTATTATTATTATTATGTCCAGAGAAGGAAGGAAGGGAGGGAGGCAGGGGACTTTCCCAGTGAAGAGGGAGCCAAACACAGCACTGTGTGGCTTCAGCCAAGATCCGCCAATGGGAATTCGCCTCCGTCTCTGGCGTCATCAGTCTCCGGGCAGAAACCCCTGGGGTTCATGCACAGGTTCCCCAATAGAAACTCGCCTCCCTTGAGGCGTCATCAGTCTCTAGGCAGAGTCGCCCTTGGCTTGATTCTCTGCCGTTCTGCCAATGGGAATTCTCCTTTTGGTGGCGTCATCAGTCTCCGGGCAGAAGCTCCCCTACTTCACGCCCATGTTCCACCAATGGGAATTCGCCTTTATCTGCAGCGTCATCGGTCTCTAGGCAGGAATCTCTACCAGTGTTTCTCAACCTTCTTAATGCCTCCACCCTTTAATACATTTCCTTCTGTTGTGGTGACCCCCCAACATTATTTTTGTTGCTACTTCATAACTGTAATCTTCCTTCTGTTATGATTCGTAATGTAATTATCATTTACTGGACCAAATTTGGCACAAAATACCCAATACGCCCAAATTTGAATACTGGTAGGGTTGGGAGAGAAATGATTTTGCCATTTGGGAGTTGTAGTTGCTGGGATTTATAGTACACCTACAATCAAAGAGCATTCTGAACTCCACCAACGATAGAATTGGGCCAAACTTCCCACACAAAGACCCCCACGACCAACAGAAAACACCAGAAGGGGTTGGTGGGCATTGACCTTGAGTTTGGGAGTTGTAGTTCATCTACATCCAGAGAGCACTGTGGACTCAAACATTGATAGATCTGGACCAAACTTGGCACAGATACTCAATATGTCCGAATGTGAACACTGGTGGAGTTTGGGGAAAATAGACCTTGGCATTTGGGAGTTGTAGTTGCTGGGATTTATAGTTCGCCTACAATCAAAGCGCATTCTGAACTCCACCAATGATGGAATTGAACCCAAACTTGGCACACAGAACTCCCATGACCAACAGAAAACATTGGAAGGGTTTGGTGGGCATTGACCTTGAGTTTGGGAGTTGTAGTTCACCTACATCCAGAGAGAACTGCGGACTCAAACAGTGATAGATCTGCACCACATTTGGCATGGATACTCAATATGCCTGAATGTGAACACTGGTGGAGTTTGGGGAAAATAGACCTTGACACATGGGAGTTGTAGTTGCTGGGATTTATAGTTCACCTTCAATTGAAGAGCATTCTGAACCCCACCAAGGACAGAATTGGGTCAGACCTCCCACACAGAACCCCCATGGGTTGTAAGTTTTTTGGGCTGTCTGGCCCTGTTCCAGAAGCATTCTCTCCTGACATTTCATCTGCATTTATGGCAGGCATCCTCAGAGGATTGTGAGGTCTGTTAGAAACTAGGAAAATTGGGTTTATATCCTTGTGGAATGATGCCCAGGGTGGGAGAAAGAACTCCTGTCTGTTGGAGACAAGTGTGAATGTTTCAGTTGGCCACCTTGATTAGCATTTGATGGCCTTGCGGTTTTCAAAGGTGCTTCTTACTGCCTGGGGGAATCCTTTGTTGGGAGATGATTAGCTGTCCCTGATTGTTTCTTGTCTGGAGTTCCCCTGTTTGTACAGCATCTGCTGGTTCAGGGTCAGGCTAACCTGTCTCAGACTGGCCTGTCTGCATATCACCCTGCTTGAGAGGGGGAGGGGGTCCATGGAGGGAGAATTTGCAGTCCATCCACATCCATCCATCCCTCTATCTACCCATGCATTTCCCAAGATGGCACTCACATCCAGATAGCCCTGTAACTCCTACCAACAACGGATCAGGACAATTCTTGCTCCCACCCGCCCCCCAAACAGAAAATGCTGGAAAGGTGGGGGGGATTGACCCAGGACAATGGGAGTTATAGTTACCCGGATACCCAGTGGCCAATGTCGGATCTGAACCAAACTTGGCACATGTACCCAACATGGCCAACTTTCAATACTGGTGGAGATTGGAGGAAATTGACCATGGGTGTTGGGAGCTGTAGTTCACCCACAATCAAGGAGCACAGTGACTCTCCCCAACAATGGATCTGGACTAAGCCTGGTTGTTCTGGAACAGCTGTTCCAAGAGCTCCAATTTTATTTGCTTTGAATTAAATGTTTGTTTGCAATCCCAGGCTTGGGATTTTGCAGCAGGGTGGCTTCCTGTTATAGTTTGCAATCATAGGGCAAGCACCTGTCAATTATCGTTAGGTTCCCTGGTCCCGCCCCTTTTTGAGTTTTGAGTCAGTCCACACAGAGAAGCCTTTCGCACAGGACATAAGAAGAGCTCCTGTAGAAAGCTTTGTCTTCTTGGCCGGGGAGATATGCAGCCTACAGCTTGGCCGGGGTTATACAGCCCCACAGCTTGGCCGAGGATCTTACAGCCCTACAGCTCCTTTGCTGAGGGACTTCAGCTAGCCATCACCTAAACCTGAACTCCTTATTTTCCCCTGGAAGTCTACAAAGCTCTGCTTGGTAAGGGTCGCTCGCGGAAGCCAGATGCAGTTGGCACCGGGTGCAGGGGCTCCATGCCAACAGAGGCAAAGACAGACTGCCCAGATTAGAAGTTAAGGATTTCCCCATTAGTTAGTATACAGTTTATGAAGATAGTGCCTGTTCCCAGTGAACAAGATTGCAAGAGCCAATAGACTGTTAAGAAAGCTTTAAAGTACCTGTTTGTTTCATCAATACTTTGTTGGACTTACTTTAAGCCTCTACTTTGTTTTGGGGAGGTCCAAGGGCCTTTAATCTGAGGCAGCCCCGGTGTCCCGTTGGGCACACAGAATGTATGTCCTGTCTACAGTCATATGCACAGGCCCAGCGTGCGACAGCACACTGGTACACAGACCCATTGTGGCCTGCTTAAAATACCATTGGGGTTTGGAGGTAATTGGCAGAGGATGATTGTGGGGGGGGGGGGGATATAGTCCAGCCACAGATGGACAGTCATGTGAATCCCACCGATGATGGATCTGGTCCAAATGTGACCAAGGGGGGCCCTGGAGGCCAGCTAGTCCACCCCTGCTCCCAGACATGCTGCCCAAGAAAGTGCTAAACTAAAGCAAGGCATGGAGTGTCAGGCCAGGAAGGGGCGAGAAGCATCTCTTTATTGAAAGATTGAAGCGCTGTCAGGAGTCAATTTCTGACAGCATGAAGACATCACAAATTCCCTGCGTGACATCCTGACTGAATCATGGTGGTGGGAAAAAGTCGGTACTGTCTTTCTTTGCTGCAGAGATACAAGCCATATATCCATTGCAAAGCAAAACCGGCTTGTGAGTGGTTATTTAATATTGCTATATAGATCCTACAGTCTTACAAGCACAGAGAAACAGAGGCATCGAGATCAGGGCCAGGGCACAGAAAGAAGGGGGGTTGAGTGGGGTCTCAAGAGACGAGGCTCTTCCCATCTTGGTGACGGAGGAGGAAGGATGGAAGGAAGGTGTTCTCTTCGGAGGAGGTGGAGGCGAGTCTCTACTCCATGAGTCCCACTGCGAGGTAGAAGACAGAGGGGACAATTGAGGGGGCAAGAGGCCAATGGGGAAGAAGGGAGGGGGGTCTTCCAAGGCAGGAAACTATAGGGGACCCCTCCCCCCCTGCCCAAAGGGAACGGCTTCTCTCTGCCATCAGGGAAGCACAGGAACCCCATTGCCCCCCACCCCCACCCCAATGACTCCTTTGGTCCCAGGGCAGCCGGAAACTGCAACCACGGCTAAGCTCCTGTAGTTGTTGTGTGCCTGTGTTGAGGGGAGGGGCTGGGGGAGTGTTTTATTATGATGGTGTGTAATATGTTTATTGATACCGCATTTATTTTTCTCCACAAAGGAGATTCCTTTCCAGGGCCCTCCCCTCACAGCTTCCTTTCATCATCCAAAGGGGCAGGGGCTACAAAGCGGGGGGGGGGGGCTCTGCAAGGGGAGGCTTCTCTCTCTCTCTCTCTCTCTCTCTCTCTCTTTCTCTCTGGGAAGCCCCCCAATCAAAGCTTTATGCCCCCAAAAGGGAAGAGTGAGCCTTACCTGTGGGAGGGGGCACAGCGCAGCCTGGAAGGAGAGGAAGAAAGAAGGGTTTGGTCAGGGCCAAAGGATCCCCCAAAGGCAGGACCCCCCTATTGGCCCACACAGAACACCCCCCCCCCATGACCCCTTTGCCAGCGGAGACCCCTCTGGGAGTCCATGACACTGCTGGCTTCATTCCCAGGTTCATAGAATCATAGAATCCTAGAGTTGGAAGAGACCTCCTGGGCCATCCAGTCCAACCCCATTCTGCCAAGAAGCAGGAATATTGCAGTCAAATCACCCCCGACAGATGGCCATCCAGCCTCTGCTTCAAAGCTTCCAAAGAAGGAGCCTCCACCACACTCCGGGGCAGAGAGTTCCACTGCTGAACGGCTCTCACAGTCAGGAAGTTCTTCCTCGTGTTCAGATGGAATCTCCTTTCTTGTCATTTGAAGCCATTGTTCCATTGCATCCTAGTCTCCAGGGCAGCAGAAAACAAGCTTGCTCCCTCCTCCCTGTGGCTTCCTCTCACATATTTATACATAGCTATCATATCTCCTCTCAGCCTTCTCTTCTTCAGGCTAAACATGCCCAGCTCCTTAAGCCTCTCCTCTTAGGGTTCACTGGAACATATAACCCTCCTTGCCACCACAAGGGGGCAACAACCCAGCAAGGGGGGCAGAGCATTGGCCATCTACCAGGAGCCACCCGATCTCCCTGATGCACCCTAGAGCAGGAGCAGGGCCCTCTAATCATTAATCACACCACACCTTGAATGAAGGAAGAGTCCTTTTTTATTGAAGAATAACTGGAGCCAATAAAAGAGATGATTATAAAATAGGTAGAAGCCCAAAAGCAAAAAAAGCCAAAGAAAGCAGCAATATAAGCAGTGTCCAAACACATGAATAATAACAATGTCCCAAAAAGCTTGCAGAGATCATCCAAATGCAGTGAATAATCAAAAGCCTTCAATAGGAAACCATGAACAGACTAGCCACTGCTAATCCACTTGAAAAGCTAGATATATCCTTAGAGACAAGGCCACTTGAAACAGGATTTTTCCAAGAAACTTGAGCTTGATTCTAAACGATGCCTGATCTGAAGAAGATTCTCTAAGGGCCCAATTTAAGTCCCAAAAACTGGTTTCTACTCCCCCCAGTTTTTGGCCTTAACTGCCAATTTTTTTCTGACCTGCATAAATATTGGGCCTCTCAATGGTTCTGGTTGATTTCCAGACGGCGACTGGTCTTACCATACAGGCGCGGAAAGGGCCATTCACAATCCTTTCATGTACACATTCCTTCATTGTTTTCCTTTCTGCCCGCCTCCTCTCTCCTCATTGGCTGCGTCGCCGAAGCAGGGCTTGCGCTCTGATTGGCAGGGCACATCCTCCTCCAGCCACTCCTCCCGGCCCACTGACGTCACAGCCAATCACATCAAAGCCGACTCAGGGGGTGGGTGCAGGGAAATTTGAATGGAAAACTATAATTCTGTATTTTTCTACCAAAAACACGATGGTTTCTTCAGCAAATTAATGCAGCCATCATCCTTTTCCAGCTGGAACAGAAATAACTACCTCGGTGGCTTCTGCTACAGCTTGGTGCAATTTGTTCTGGAATATTGGCTTCTTTTTCTCACCAGGCTAAACCCACAGTGGCTTGGATCTCACTATCCACAGCCATTCTAAATTGCCTGACAACAGAATCATAGAATCCTGGAATTCTAGAGCTGGAAGAGACCTGGTGGACCACTCAGTCCAACCCCATTCTGCCAAGAAGCAGGAAAGTCACATTCAAAGCACCCCCGACAGATGACCATCCATCCTCTGTTTAAAAGCCTCCAAAGAAGGAACCTCCACCAGGGCAGAGAGTTCCACTGCTGAACAGCTCTCTCATAGAATCCTTGAGTTGGAGGAGACCTGGTGGGCCATCATCCAGTCCAACCCCATTCTGCCAAGAAGCAGGAAAATTGCATTCAAAGCACCTCTAACAGATGGCCATCCAGCCTCTGTTTAAAAGCTTCCAAAGAAGGAGCCTCCACCACACACCGGGGCAGAGAGTTCCACTGCTAAACAGCTCTCACTCTGCTATATTTATGGTGGAATCACCCCAACTGAGGGTTATTTTTGAGCCTAACAGCTCAAATTCCCCAATACATAATAACACTAACGAAAGAATTAGAGCTGACGTGGTCTATTCAACAAATCAGTGCCTCAAACAACCTCAGAAACAAGCCTAAAAACAAAGACAACAAATAATAGATGTTGGGCTGTAATATTGATGAGAGAGAGAGAGAGATGGCAGATGATAGACAGAATCATGTCATTAAGGAGAGAGAGAGGGACGGGTAGAGGTCAGATAGATAGAGATAGCAGATTTTAGACAGATAGATGATAAGTTAAGAGGTTGCCTGTGGGATGTTGAACCCGTGGTCCTCCCTAAGTCACCAGACAGCCCCACCTCCTTGGGCTGAGTGTCAGACATGGAAAAGAGTGCTGGGAATTGCAGTCCCCAAACAAAACCTGGTGCTCTTCTGGAGACCATGGGTGCCCCCTTCTTCCTTTAGGAAACCAACACCTCTTGGCCTTGGTTCCTCAGCCTGGTCTGGACGGGTCCCCAGAGAAATATGCCAAAATGGCCTCTGGTGAGGGGGATGCTGGGAGTTGCAGCCCAAACACCTGACCACCCAGAGCTACACTCTATCACTGCGAGGACCCTTCGGGAGTGGTCCCCAGAATGCCACACACACAGCCTCACCTTTCTTGACATAGACAGAGAGCCCCGCGGCTACAAAGACCACCCCCAGGACCAGGCTCACGATCCCTGTCCACATCTTGTTCTTGGCAGAGTCCGACTGGGGCCCTGCAGAAGAGGAGGAGGAGGAGGAGGAGGAAGAGGAGGAAGCACAGGATTGAAAAGGGACAAGGCATCAGTCCACCCAACACCTCCAAAAACCACATTAGGAAGAATTGTGTGATGAGGATGGTAGGGTCCCTCCCTCTTGGGCAGGAGGGCCTCTCCCAGGCAGATGTCCCCCAAGGTTCCCTCCCTGGGGCTGCCTTTGATGCTGAATAGCTTACTCCACTCAACGGAGGCAGGGCTGGGAGAGCTGGCGTGATCCGCTTGGCAGACGTAGACATCTCCCTTCTCTGGCTGCGTCTCCAGCAAAACCTGGATCCGGTAAGTCCAGTCTCCATTGTCGATGATAGGAGTGGTCATCACTTCGTCCCCCTTTTCCTCCTTCCCGTTCCTGAACCACCGGACTGTGATCTTGGCTGGGAAAAAGTGGTCCACGGTGCAGATCAGCATAGTGTTGCGGGAGGAGGAAGAGCCCCCGTAGTCATTGGGAGCGATCATCATCTTGGGTGGAACTGGAGAGGAAAGAAGCAGAGGAAAGGATGGCCCAAACCCACAGTCAAGTCAAAGAGGCCGTCAAGTGAAAGGAGGGGGTTGTGATTGGAATGCTGGCATGGGATGGAGAACCTACTGAAGGGCTTGAAGCCATCCATTAAGTAAGATCTATTTGTGTGCTGTGCTGGCCTCTTGCGCCACAGGACCCACACAACATGGTTGTTGTGATGTGACCTGGGCCTAGTGTGAGATCGCGATGCCCTGATGGCCCCAGGCAGGCATGTAGCTGGGGGGGGGGGGGCGGGGGGCTTCAGCCCCCCCCCCCCGAAATTCTCATGTTGGTCCGCAAAAAGGCCTTACTGGTACATTATTTAAACTGTTATGAATAAACATAACAGTTTAAATCATGATCTGATCACCATGCTCAATATATCCCATATGCATGGGGGTTTTGGGGTAACAATACAAAAGGTTTGCTAGGGTAGACCCTCTTTCACTCAGACTTAGCCCCCCCCCCGAACCAAACTCAGCCCCCCCCAAAACAAAATCCTGGCTACGGGCCTGGCCCCAGGGGGATCCAGAGGGTCCTCGGGGCTTTGCGGAGCTGATGCTTCATGGGTTGCTCTTCATTTTGGATGTCAACATTCTATTTGTGTGTCCAGAGATATAACAAATGCAGCCTCCAAGATAATCAGCAACTCAGCTCAGCCTGGCACAGCCCACATGAGAAATGGCAATTAAGGCACCAGGTCCTGTCTGATCTCGGAAGCTAAGCAGGGGCAGCCAGAGTCAGCCTTTGGATGGGAGACCAGCAAGGAATCCTGGGGGCTGGAGGCTCCATTTGAGTGGAAGGAGCTGCCAGAGCCTTCTCTGAAGATTCCTGGCCCAAGAAAAACCCCACAGAATTCATGAGATAACCCAGGGAAGCCCTGACCCTTGAGCGCTCTAACTGGAGTTCAGCTGTGACCAGCAGTGCTGCGGAATTTGAAGAGGCACAAATGGAGGGCAAAAGGGAGAAATGTGCCCAGAGGAAGAAGGTACATCAAATCAACCCTAACCAGGATTGCCTTCCACCTGGAAACCAATGTCCTCACTGCAGGAGAATATGTGGATCAAGAATAGGGCTCCACAGCCACCTACAGACCCACTGCCAAGAGGACCATCATCTTGGAGGACCACCATCCTTGGATTATGAAGGATCTGGCCATGTTCCGGAAGCATTTTCTCCTGACGTTTTGCCCACATCTATGGCAGGCATCCCCAGAGGTTCTGAGGTCTGTTGGAAACTAGGCAATATATATATAGTCCATGTAATAATGTCCACAGTGAGAGAAAGAACTCTTGTCTGTAGGAGGCAAATGTTAATGTTGCCATTGGCCACCTTGATTAGCACTGAAAAGTCTTGCAGCTTCAAAGCCTGGCTACTTCCTGCCTGGGGGAATCCTTGGCTGGAAGGTGTTAGCTGTCCCTGACTGATTCTTGTCTGGAATTCCCCTGCTTTTTGAGTGTTGCTTTTTATTTGCTGTCCTGATTCTAGAGGTTTTTTTTAATGCTGGGAGCCAAATGTTGTTCCTTCTCATGGTTTCCTCCTTTCTGTTGACGTGGTCCACAGATTTCAGTGGCTTCCTAATGTTAGTCTGACATGGTGGTTGTGACAGTGGTCCAGGACTAGGAAAATGAACAAAACCTGGTGACCAGTATTCAAAAACTCTAGAATCAGGACAGTAAATAAAGAGCAACACTAAAAAAACAGAGGAATTCCAGACAGGAAACAATCAGGGCCAACTAACACCTCCCAACAAAAGGATCCTCCCAGGCAGGAAACAGCCAGGCTTAGAAACTGAAAAGCCATTCAATGCTGATCAAGCTGGGTAATGGCAATATTCACACTTGCCTCCAACAGACAAGAGTTTCTTCTCCCACCCTGGATATTATTCCACAGGTATACAGTGGAGAAAAAAGTATTTAGTCAGATACCAATTGTACAAGTTCTCCTACTTTGGAAGATGAGAGAGGCCTGTAATTGACATCATAGGTAGACTTCAACTATGAGAGACAACATGAGAATTTAATGTTTTTAATGTTTTATGTATGCGTACATGAATTCTTGTCCTGGCACTGAATGTTTGCCGTATATATGCTGCGATCTGCCCTGAGTCCCCTTCGGGATGAGAAGGGCAGAATATAGAATCACAGACTCCTAGAGTTGGAAGAGACCTCATGGGCCATCATCCAGTCCAACCCCATTCTGCCAAGAAACTGGAAAATTACATTCAAAGCACCCCTGATCTGATCACCATGCTCAATATATTCCACATGCAGGGGGGTATTGGGATAATGATACAAAAGGTCTGCTAGGGTAGATCCTGACTCCCTGCCCAGAATCAAACTCACCCCCCACCCCCCGAATCAAAATCCTAGCTACAGGCCTGCCTGTCATAGATGTAGATTTTTTTTGTTGTTGTTGTGTCAGGAGCGACCTGAGAAATGCAAGTCGCTTCTGGTGTGAGAGAATTGGCTGTCTGCAAGGACGTTGCCCAGGGGACACCTGGATGAATTGATGTTATTATCATCCTTGTGGGAGGCTTCTCTCATGTCCCCGCATGAGGAGCTGGAGCTGATAGAGGGAGCTCATCTGCCTCTCCCCGGATTCAAACCTGTGACCTGTCGGTCTTCAGTCCTGCCGGCACAGGGGTTTAACCCACTGCACCACCAGCTGAAACATCAGGAGAGACTGCTTCTGGAAGAACATGGGCAGGTACCTGAAAAACACCCAGCAACCCAGTGGTTCTGGCCCTGAAAGCTTTCGACAGCACGAAGTGTATTATTATTATTATTATTATTATTATTATTATTATTATTATTATATCTTCCTTTTAAATTCCTCTCAGGGCTTTGTGGGAAGCTTCTCTCATGTCTCTGCATGTGGAGCTGGAGGTGACATATGGGAGCTCATCATCCTGGTGCTGATAAGGATTGTTTGTTTTTTATTATAATGTGAATGCCTGAATATGCAAAGACTAGCATTGAACAGATCGCCAGGAAAGCTAAGAGGTCTCTGAGAACATGAGTTCAAAATGAAGTTTCAACAGGAACAAATGCAAGAGACTCCACTTTGGCAGAAAAAACGAAATGCAAATATACAGAATGGGGGACGATGAGGCCTGGCTCAAGAGCAGGACGTGGAAAAAGGATCTTGGAGTCCTTGCGGACAAGTTAAACATGAGCCAGGAATGTGATGTGGCGGCAAAAAAGCCAATGGGATTTGGCCTGCATAAATAGGAGTATAGTGTCTAGATCCTGTCCCTCTATTCTGCCTTGGAATACTGTGTCCAATTCTGGGCACCATAATTGAAGAGAGATATTGACAAACTGGAATGTGTCCAGAGGAGGGTGACTAAAATGATCAAGGGTCTGGAGAACAAGCCCTATGAGGAGCGGCTTAAGGAGCTGGGCATGTTTAGCCTGAAGAAGAGAAGGCTGAGAGGAGATATGATAGCCATGTATAAATATGTGAGAGGAAGCCACAGGGAGGAGGGAGCAAGCTTGTTTTCTGCTTCCTGGAGACTAGGACGAAACAATGGCTTCAAACTACAAGAGAGGAGATTCCATCTGAACATGAGGAAGAACTTCCTGACTGTGAGAGCCGTTCAGCAGTGGAACTCTCTGCCCCGGAGTGTGGTGGAGGCTCCTTCTTTGGAAGCTTTTAAACAGGGGCTGGATGGCCATCTGTCAGGGGTGATTGGAATGCAATTTTCCTGCTTCTTGGCAGAATGGGGTTGGACTGGATAATGGCCCACGAGGTCTCTTCCAACTCTTTGATTCTATGAATCTATAACACCCAGATAATGTAATGAATCAGTTTACTCACAATCTTGTATGAAGGTGATCATACAGGTAAAATCTTGGGTTTCATGTAATCGAAAAATATATCCAGGGAACTACATTTGGCCTGAGGTACAAGCTAGGCCTCTATATAGAATGCAGGATGGTTATGTCTCTAAAAAGGAAGAGGAAGGGAAAGGAAGAGCAGATGGGAAGACCTCCCGAGGACAACTCTCTAAAGACAAAAGGCCAGGGGTCCCTTTTCTAACTTTCCTCCTTCAAAGAAGTATCTCTATGTGAGAGATACCACATCCCCAATGTCAACTGTTTCTCTCTGATCTCTCAGCATGCAGCTTTTTGATGGGCAATAAAATGTTTGGAATGGGTTGTTGTAGGTTTTTTTGGGCTCTATGGCCATGTTCTAGAGCAGTGGTTCTCAACTTGGGGTCCCCAGATGTTTTTGGCCTACAACTCCCAGAAATCCCAGCCGGTTTACCAGCTGTTAGGATTTCTGGGAGTTGAAGGCCAAAAACATCTGGGGACCCCCGGTTGAGAACCACTGTCCTAGAGGCATTTTCTCCTGACGTTTCGCCTGCATCTATGGCAGAGGTTGTGAGGAATGTATTGTCGAAGGCTTTCATGGCTGGAATCACTAGGTTCTTGTGTTTTTTTTCGGGCTATAGGGCCATGTTCTAGAGGTATTTTTCCTGACGTTTTGCCTGCATCTATGGCAAGCATCCTCAGAGGTAGTGAGGTCTCTTGGAACTAGGACAATGGGTTTATATATCTGTGGAATGGCTGGGGTGGGGCAAGGAGCTCTTCCCTTCTGGAGCTAGGTGTGAATATTTCAGCTGATCACTTTCATTAGCATTTGAAGGCCTTGCTGAGCCTGGGAAAATCTTTTGTTGAGAGGTGATTAGATGTGCCTGGTTGTTTCCTCTCTGCTGTTTTGCTGTTGTAATTTTAGAGTTTTTCAATACTGGTAGCCAGATTTTGTTCATTTTCATGGTCTCTTCCTTTCTGTTGAAATTGTCCACATGCTTCTTGTGGATTTCAATGGCTTCTCTGTGTAGCCTGACATGGTGGTTGTGAGAGTGGTCCAGCACTTCTGCGTTCTCAGATAATCTGCTGTGCCCAGGTTGGTTCCTCAGGTGCTCTGCTCTGGCTGACTTCTCTGGCTGAAGGAGTCTGCAGTGCCTTTCATGTTCCTTGATTCGTGTCTGGGCAATGCTGCTGTTTGGTGGTCCCTCTGTAGACTTGTCCACAGCTGCATGGTACACGGTCGACTCCTGCAGAGGTGAGAGGATCCCTCTTGTCCTTTGCTGAACGTAGCATTTGTTGGATTTTCTTGGTGGGTCTGTATGGTTTGTATGTTGTGTTTCCTCATCAGCTTCCCTCTGCGGTCAGTGGTTCCCTTGATGTCTGGCAGGAACACTTTCCCTCTGGGTGGATCTTTGTCTTTACTCTCATGGCTTATATAAACCCATTGTCCTAATTCCAACAGACCTCACTACCTCTGAAGATGCTTTCCATAGATGCAGGCGAAACGTCAGGAGAAATGCCTCTAGAACATGGCCCTATAGCCCGAAAAAACCCACAAGAACCTAGTTGTGAGGAATGTTTGAAATCTTAGAGCGTTCACTTTCAGCAACAGAGTATGGTGACCAGAGAAAAAGGCTATTTCTAGAATGCATGCTTGATTCTGCCATTTTTGCCAGCAAATATGGAAAACACAAGAATGGCCATCAGACTGGAAAAAATCAACTTATATCCCCATACCAAAAAAGGGAAATGCGAAAGACTGCTCCAACTTCCGTACAGTGGCCCTTATTTCTCATGCCAGTAAGGTAATGCTCAAGATCCTGCAAGGAAGACTCCAGCAATACATGGAGCGAGAGTTGCCAGATGTTCAAGCTGGGTTTAGAAAAGGCAGAGGAACGAGAGACCAGATTGCCAATCTCCGCTGGATAATGGAGAAAGGCAGGGAGTTTCAGAAAAACATCTACTTCTGCTTCATTGACTATTCTAAAGCCTTTGACTGTGTGGATCATAATAAATTGTGGCAAGTTCTTAGTGGGATGGGCATCCCAAGCCCCCTTCCCTCTCTCCTGAGGAATCTGTACAAGGACCAAGTAGCAACAGTCAGAACTGACCACGGAACAACAGACTGGTTCAAGATTGGGAAAGGCGTACGGCAAGGCTGCATACTCTCACCCAACCTTTTTCACTTGTATGCAGAACACATCATGCGGTGTGGGGCTTGATGAATGCAAAGCTGGGGTGAAAATTGCTGGAAGAAACATTAACAACCTCAGATATGCAGATGACACCACTCTGATGGCCGAAAGCGAGGAGGAGCTGAGGAGCCTTCTAAGCAAGGTGAGAGAAGAAAGCGCAAAAGCCGGGTTGCAGCTAAACGTCAAAAAAACCAAGATTATGGCAACAAGAATGATTGACAACTGGAAAATAGAGGGAGAAACCGTGGAGGCCGTGACAGACTTTGTATTTCTAGGTGCAAAGATTACTGCAGATGCAGACTGCAGTCAGGAAATCAGAAGACGCTTACTTCTTGGGAGGAGAGCAATGTCCAGTCTCGATAAAATAGTGAAGAGTAGAGACATCAGACTGGCAACGAAGATCCGCCTAGTCAAAGGTATTCCCCATAGTCACCTACGGATGTGAGAGCTGGACCATAGGAAGGCTGAGCGAAGGAAGAGAGATGCTTTTGAACTGTGGTGTGAGGAAAGTTCTGAGAGTGCCTTGGACTGCGAGAAGATCCAACCAGTCCATCCTCCAGGAAATAAAGCCCGACTGCTCACTGGAGGGAAAGATACTAGAGACAAAGTTGAAGTACTTTGGCCACATCATGAGGAGACAGGAAAACCTAGAGAAGACAATTATGCTGGGGAAAGTGGAAGGCAAAAGGAAGAGGGGCCGACCAAGGGCAAGATGGATGGATGGCATCCTTGAAGTGACTGGACTGACCTTGAGGGAGCTGGGGGTGGTAACGGCCGACAGGGAGCTCTGGCGTGGGCTGGTCCATGAGGTCACGAAGAGTCGGAGACGACTGAACGAATGAACAACATGCTTGATTCTCAACATAGTCCAACAAGGATGAAGGGACCTTCCATGCAAGGGGGAAGGAGGGTGAAAGGGGCCTCCCTTTCAGGCCTGGACCAGACCCAGGAGAGGGACCCCTCCTCCTCCTCTTCCTCCTCCTCTGGGGCCCGCCTGGGTAGAGTCCAGCCTCCCCCTTCCCACCCTCCTTCCCCCTCCGGGAAAGTCTTGGGCTCGTTCCCTGCTTCCACCCCCACCCCTCTTCCCGACCGGCACCAGGAGGGAGTGGCGGGAGGGGACTCACGTTTCCTGCCGAGGGCGAAGGGCTCCGCGAGGTCGTAGTTGTAGCGGCAGAAGCGGTCCACCTCGGTCATCTGGGCCCGCAGCGCGTCCGGGTCCCGGTTGAACCTGTCCACGTTGGACTGGGCCATGGGCGCGAGGGCCACGAACCGGCCCAGGGCGCTGTCGAAGTGGACGATGTCCTGCCGGTCGTAGATGGCGCGGTACAGGAAGCGCCCCTCCGCCCCGGGGCCCGTCCCGTTGGGGAAGAAGCACTCGCCCCTCTCTTGGTACAGGAAATGGGCTGCGAGAGAGAGAGAGAGAGAGAGAGGGAGAGGGAGCGCTACATGGAAGGAAGGGAAGGGAAGGGAAGGGAAGGAAGGAAGGAAGGAAGGAAGGAAGGAAGGAAGGAAGGAAGGAAGGAAGGAAGGAAGGAAGGAAGGAAGGAAGGAAGGAAGGAAGGAAGGAAGGAAGGAAGGAAGGAGAAGGCGGCGGCTCACCTGGAGGACCCCCCGCCACTGCCGCTGCCGCGAGCAGGAGCTGCGCCCAGAGCCAGGCCGCCAAGGGCCAGCCCCACAGAGAGGAGCCCATCGCCAGGAGGAGTAGAGGAAGGCTCCCTCTTGCCCTCCTTTCCTCCCTCGATGGCGCCTCCAGGAGAGAGCAGACTTCCCCGCTGCCTCCTCCAAGTCGGGACGGCGGCTTTCTGGGGCGGCTGCGTTCCTTAGCCCGGGCGGGCGCCCCTCCTTCCCGGCCAATCAGGCGCAGCGCCCCGTCCGCGTCATCAGTCGCCGGGCAAAGAGAGCCCCAAAGGCTCCCCGACGGGCGGAGAGGTGGGCGCTCTCCCTCCTACGGGGAAGAAGAAGAGGGGGAAGGGGGAAGGGGTCGCATCACACCTCGGCTCTGGGAGTCACTCTGGACCGTACCCTGACCTACAAGTAGCATTGCCTGAACAAAAAGCAAAAAGTGGGCGCTAGAAACAGTGTCATACGAAAGCTGACTGGCACAACCTGGGGATCACAACCAGACACAGTGAAGACATCTGCCCTTGTGCTATGCTACTCTGCTCCTGAGTGCGCATGCCCAGTGTGGAACACATCTTGCCACGCTAAAACAATGGGTGTGGCTCTTCATGAGACATGCCGCATTATCACAGGGTGTCTGCGCCCTACACCACTGGAAAAATTACACTTTTTTTGGAAATAGTTTTTTATTTATTTATTTATTTATTTATTGCATTTGTTGACCGCCATTCTCAGCCCCTTAGGGCGACTCACGGCGGTGTACAACACATAAAAAACAGTTTACAATAAGCCATAGCATAGCAAATATCTACATAACAAGCAATAATACCACAATCATATAATTAAACTAAATCATCCACATCACCTCATCATAGAATCATAAGCCAATCTCATAATCCATATTCCGTTCCAGTCATCAGCCATTTGTTATAGCATTTAGTTAAACGCCTTCTCGAATAGCCATGTTTTTAGACTCTTACGAAATGACATAAGGGAGGGCGCCTGCCTGATGTCAACAGGGAGGGTGCTCCATAGCCGGGGGGCCACCACTGAGAAGGCCCTATCTCTCGTCCCCGCCAGACGTGCCTGTGAAGCAGGCGGGATCGAGAGAAGGGCCTCCCCAGATGATCTCAAGGCCCTCGTGGGCTCATAGGCCGAGATGCGGTCAGAAAGGTATTTTGGGCCGGTATTTTTATTAAGGTATTTAAAAATAACAGCGAAAGACGGTGAATATTAAAATAAAGAAGATAGCACAGTAGGAAAAAATAGAAAGACACCACCTCTCCACCAAGTCCAAAAATAAAAAGAGGGGAAAAAAACAAAAAACAAAAACACACACACAACAACCACAAAAGCAATAAAAAATATAAAGATAGAAAAGTGATATCAAAAATTAAAAAAAAAAGAGTTGACTTCCATCTCTCCATCAGGTATTGTATTCTCAATAATGTTCCTGTTGTGTCGCATTAAATTGTTCCTCTTATTTACTTCTTTCTTTCTCATAATTTTCATAGAGGGTCCAATCAGTCCTCTTTATCAAATTCCCGGTATTCTTTTTCAAGAAAAAAGTTAGTTCATCAATTTATCTTATTTCTCTAACTTTCCCTAACCATTCTTCCATGGTAGGAATACCATCTTGTTTCCAAAGTTTTGCCAAAGATATTATTATTATTAATTATTATTATTATTACTTTATTGGTACCCCGCTAGCATCTCCCGAAGGACTCAATGCGGCTTACAAAGGCCGAGGCCTCAAAACACAACACAACACAACACAACAATACAACACCAAAAGCAAATTAAAAACAGTTAAAGCAATATTAACGACATGCAATAAACAATACATCAAGACACAATAAAAACTAATAAAAATATTCTCACTGCCGTCGTGATATAAGTAAATGATCTGTCTTAATTTTCATCTAATTCAGTGTTTCTCAACCTGGGGGTCGGGACCCCTGAGGGGGTCGCGAAAGGGTGTCAGAGGGGTCACCAAAAACCATCAGAAAACACAGTATTTTCTGATTGTCATGGGGATTCCATGTGGGAAGTTTGAGCCAATTCTATTGTTGGTGGAGTTCAGAATGTTCTTTGATTATAGTGAACTATAAATCCCAGCAACTACAACTCCCAAAAGTCAAGGTCTATTTTCCCCAGACTCCACCAGTGTTCACATTTGCACATATTGAGTGTTTGTGCCAAGTTTGGTCCAGATCCACCATTGCGTGAGTCCACAGTGCTCTCTGGATATAGGTGAACTACAACTCCCAAACTCAAGGTCAATCCCCGCCAAACCCTTCCAGTGTTTTCCGTTGGTCATGGGAGTTCTGTGTGGCAAATTAGGTTCAAATCCATTGCTGGTGGAGTTCAGAGTGCTCCTTGATTGTAGGTGAACTATAAATCCCAGCAACTACAACTCCCAAATTACAAAATCAGTCCTCCCCCAACCCCACTAGCATTTACATGTGGGTGCATTGGGTATTTGTGCCCAGTTTGGTCCAGTGAATGAAAATACATCCTGCATATCGTATATTTACATTATGATTTATAACAGTAGTAAAATGACTGTTATGAAGTAGCAACAAAAACAATGTCATGGTTGGGGGTCACCACAACATGAAGGACTGGATTCAGGGGTCACGGCATTAGGAAGGTTGAGAACCACTGATCTAATTGTAGTTCTAAATCCGTGAAACCTAATAGATAATATTCTGGTTTCTTCTTGAATACTCTCTTCAGGATTTTTTTTGTGTCTCTTCATGCACAATCAGCCAATATTTCCCTATGACAAATTTCACTCTTTAGCTGGTATTGCACCACTTGACATCCGCCAGGAAGTAGCAGCCAATATTTTATCTATTTATTTATCGTGTCAGGTGCAACCAGACGATTGTATTACATTTCTAACAGAACAAAAAAACAAACAAACAAACAGACACAAAACAAAATTTGCAAGCTTGGTAGTGGATTAGATGTCTTTTGACCAGTATCTGGCCCCTTGGAGTGCCTCTGGTGTTGCTGCAAGGAGGTCCTCCATTGTGCATGTGGCAGGGCTCAGGTTGCATTGCAGCAGGTGGTCAGTGGTTTGGCTCTTCTCCACACTCGCATGTCGTGGACTCCACTTTGTGGCCCCATTTCTGGAGGTTGGCTCTGCATCTCGTGGTGCCAGAGCGCAGTCTGTTCAGCGCCTTCCAAGTCGCCCAGTCCTCTGTGTGCCCAGGGGGGAGTCTCTCATCTGGTATCAGCCACATGGTTGAGGTGCTGGGTTTGAACCTGCCAAGCCTGTAGCCAGGATTTTGATTTGGGGGGAGGGGGGGCTGAGTCTGAGTGAAAGAGGGTCTACCCTAGCAAACCTTTTGTATCGTTACCCAAATACCCCCATGCATATGAGATATATTGAGCATGGTGATCAGATCATGATATGAATAAACATAACAGTTTAAATAATGTACCAGTAAGGCCTTCTGGCGGACCATCCAGGTGGGATAAAAATCCATCGAAGGCCTTCTCTCTTCCACTACCCCCATCTTTAGGAAGTAGCAACCAATAGTGAAAGGACCAAGGCAGTGACATCTCAAACCTATCCTCTGTTTGGGTATCAGCCAGCACGCTAATGACTTAAATCAAGAAATAGTTTTCTAAGATCTACAGAGACACTCGCTGGAACACCCCAGCAAGCAAGAGTCCAAAGTGGCAGGCTCAAACCCAGAACCTCAATCAATGGCTGATACCAAATGAGAGACACACAAATGGGCGACTTGGAAGGCGCTGAACAGACTGCGCTCTGGCACCACAAGATGCAGAGCCAACCTCAAGAAATGGGGCCACAAAGTGGAGTCCACGACATGCGAGTGTGGAGAGGAGCAAACCACAGACCACCTGCTGCAATGCAACCTGAGCCCTGCCACATGCGCAATGGAGGACCCTCTTGCAGCAACACCAGAGGCACTCCAAGGGGCCAGAGACTGGTCAAAGGACATTTAAGAGAATGCAAAGTCTGCAAACTTTGTGTTTTGTTTGTCTGTTTTTTAATGCAATACAACTGTTTTGGTTCGCTCCTGACACGATAAAGAGAGCTCCAGAGAGAGGGGGGAGGGAAAGGCCTAAAGGCCCCCTCTTCCCCATCCCCCCCCCCCTCCGAGAAGCACGTCCCACGGGGCTCCTTCCCGGAGAGGTCTGCCCGGCAACCGGTGGGTCAGCTACGGACCTTTCCCCCATTGGCTGGCCCTCGGCGGGAGGGGCGTGGCGGAGGCGCCGGTCTTTCTTCCGACGGGGCCACTCACTCCTCCGCCGGGCGCCCAGCAGCAGAGCCCACAGGGAGCGAGCATGGCGGGCCCAGATGTTCCCCGCGCCCCGCCCGCGCCCCTCGCCCTCCTGGGCGCCCTCCTCCTCATCTTCTCCCGCCCCACCGCCCTCGTCGCGGAAAGTGAGCACTTGGGACGGGGGGGAGGGGGCCCTGTTTCCGGGGGGAGGGAGTCTGGGTCTGCCTGGCCGCCCCCCCCTCCCCGCCCGCCAAGAGCGCTCCCCCCAACCCACCCGCGGCTTCTTCTCCTTCTCCTTCTCCTTCTCCTTGCAGAGGCACCCAACTACGTGGACCTGGCCTTCTTCCAGGAGAGCTTCCCGGGACCGGGGCCCAAGGCGGAGGCGGCGGAGGCGGGCGAGTACCTGCAGGAGTTCGAAGGCGAGGCCCTCTTCCAGGTGGACTGGGCCCGGAAGAGCGTCTCCTGGAACCTCCCCGAACTCACCCACTTCGCCTCTTACGAGGCCGCGGTGGGCCTGGGCTTCCTCTCCGGGATGAAGCACAACGTGGAGGTCTTCATGCAGCTCAGCAACCGGACGCGCGCCCTGAACGGTACAGGCCTGACCCCGGAGTCCCGTCCCCCCCCCCCCGAGTCCCCCCGCCCTGCCCTTGCCAGCCCCCTCCCCGTCGGGCCCCCTTCTTGGAGGAGAGGCAGCCCTTGCCTGCCTTCCTCACCCACCCACTCACCCTCCCTGGAAGTGTCGGAAAGGAGCCCCCTCTCCTTCTCCTCCCGCCCTGTCCCTGCAGGCACCATCAAGGTCTTCTTCTCTCATGGCCAGGAGGTCTCTCCGTCCAGAGAGGAATTGCCGCTCTGGGCCAGAGTGAAGAGAGAGGGGCCCAGGGGACACTTCCACCTTGTCTCCTGTGCTAGGCTAATCTATATAAATCAAAATGTCATGTTCGCCTGTGGGATTAACAGAACTCAAAAACCACTGGGGGAATTGGCACCACATTTGGACACAAGACACCTAACAACCCAAGGAGTGACCATCACTCAAAAAATGATTTTGTCATTTGGGAGTTATAGTTGCTGGGATGTATAGTTCACCTACAATCAAAGAGCATTCTGAACCCCACCAAAGATGGAATTGAACCAAACATGGCACACAGGACCCCCATGACTAACAATAGAACACACTAGAAGGGTTTCATGGGCATTGACCTTGAGTTTGGGAGTTGTAGTTCACCTACATCCAGAGAGCACTCTGGACTCAAACAATGATGGATCTGGAACAAACTTGGCATGAATACTCAATATTTATTTATTATTTATTTTGCACATTTCTACCCCACCCTTCTCAACCCCCAAGGGGGGACTCAGGGCGGCACAATTCGATGCCAGCACAACAACAAAGTAAAAACATATATCAACAGCACTTTAAACAATTAAACATCAGCTAAAACATCAATTATACATCACAATCCATAAAACCAATCTAATACTCAACGTTCACCAATCCAGAATCCATAATTCATTCCACATTGTCCAATCCTTATGCCCAAATAGGAACACAGATGGAGTTTGGGGGAAATAGACCTTGACATTTGGGGGTTGTGGTTACTGGGATTTATAGTTCACCTACAACCAAAGAACATTCTGAACCCCACAAACGACAGAATTGGGGCAAACTTCCCACACAGAACCCCCATGACCAACAGAATATACTTAAGGCCATCCAGTCCAACTCCCTTCAGCAGGGCAAGAGAACATCATCAAAACCCTCCTGACAAAGAGCCATCCAGCCATAGATAGAGATAGATATGATAGATAGATAGATAGATAGATAGTTTGAAAGGAACCCCTAAAGAAGGACAATGATATGTTGCCTGTTCCAGAGTAGGCAAACCAGACCATCTCCACATCAACACAGACCAAGAAACAGCAAGAAATACTGTTTACCCACAAGCAGAAAGAAATTACATATATTAGAAAGCAACACTTTCTCAATAGGTTCTTGTGGGTTTTTTCGGGCTATAGAGCCATGTTCTAGAGGCATTTCTCCTGACGTTTCGCCTGCATCTATGGCAAGCATCCTCAGAGGTAGTGAGGTCTGTTGGAATTAGGACAATGGGTTTATATATCTGTGGAATGGCTGGGGTGGGGCAAGGAGCTCTTCCCTGCTGCAGTTAGGTGTGAATGTTTAGCTGATCACCTTCATTAGCATTTGAAGGCCTGCCTGAGCCTGGGGAAATCTGTTGCTGGGAGGTGTTAATCTGTGCCTGGTTTTTTCCTCTCTGTTGTTTAGCTGTTATAAGGATGCTTGCCATAGATGCAGGCGAAACGTCAGGAGAAATGCCTCTAGAACATGGCTCTATAGCCCGAAAAAACCCACAAGAACCTAGTGATTCCAGCCATGAAAGCCTTCGACAATACACTTTCTCAATACTTTATTTTCCAGATCATCAGACTGGGCCACAGCAACACCTGGCAGGGGACCGCTAGTCTATATAAATAAAAATGTGATGTTCATTTGTGGGATTAACAGAACTCAAAAACCACTGGATGAATTGCCACCAAATTTGGACACTACACCCCTAACAGACCAACAACTCATAAACTCTTCCCAAAAAACAGTGGAAAGGACTTTAAAAACCCCAAAAGCTAAATGATGATACAGCGCATGTGCGAAAACGACAGGTTCCTGCATTCCCTTTAGGGAAGGAGGATGCTCCAAATGTGCTGCTTCCAAGCTGCAAGCCTTCTTCTCCTTGGATTTCTTGGAGAGCATCCGAATCCCTGCAGATTTACAATTTCCTATCCCTAGACTGCAGCTCCCAGCAATCCCCCAGGAAGACAGATTACATAGAGATAGGTAGGTAGGTAGGTAGGTAGGTAGGTAGTTAGATCGATCAGGAGGGCTGCTGGGAGTTACATTCCAAGAATAGATAGAAAAAGAAGAAAGGGGAGAAAGAAAAAGTGAGAGGAAGAAAGGAAAAAGGTAGAGAAGGAAGGAAGGAAGGAAGGAAGGGAGGGAGGAAGGGAGAGACAGAAGAAGGGAAGATTGTCATGGGTACAGCTAGTATAATATAATATAAAGTAATATAATACATTGTATATACATATAATATTTATAATGGAATGGAATGCAATATAATACTACTAATAATATGATATTATAATTATATATTTATATGACATGTAATACTACTAATAATATTACAATATAATGTATAATACAATATAGTAATATTTAATACTGATATTGTACTATGCTAATAATATAGTATATTGTATGTGCATATATATCTTGTAAGCTGCTCTGAGTCCCCCTCGGGGTGAGAAGAGCATAGAAATGTTGTAAAGAAATAACGCCCCCCCCCCCCCAACCACCACCACCATTACACTATAACTCTTCTTTCAAGTCCACAACAGAAACAGATGCCCAAACTCTCAGTTCATGGCCATAGTTTCTGCTGTGCTTGGTTCAGTGACATCAGTTTGAAATTGTTAGGGGAGACCGAGCATATATTCCTTGTCTCCGTTTACACTGCATTTCCCTTTGCAAATACTTTTGGTCCTGGTGTTGCTTGCAAACCCTGGAGATGCTGCAGTTTATCCACAAGGTAAAGGCAAAGGTTTCCCCTTGACATTAAGTCCAGTCAAGTCTGATTCTGGGGGTTGGTGCTCACCTCCATTTCCAAACTGAAGAGCCAGCGTTGTCCATAGACACCTCTTGGGTCATGTGGCCATTGGCATAACTGCATGGAGCACTGTTACCTTCCTGCTAGAGCAGTACCTATTGATCTACTCACATCTGCATGTTTTCAAACTGCTAGGTTGGCAGAAGCTGGGGCTAACAGCAAGAGCTCACCTCAACCAGCAGATTTGTACCACTGACCTTTTGGCCAGCAAGTTCAGCAGTACTACTGACCTTTTGGCCAGCAAGTTCAGCAGTTCAGCAGTTTAACCTACTGCAGCACCAGGAGGGGAGGGGCCTTCACAAGGATACGAGGTCAATAAATATCAAAAACTGATTTGTGCAAATAGGCTCTTCCCAAGAAGCTTTGCTCTGTCTTGTCTCCCTTTCCCAGCTGCCCCTTCGGCCAAGGTGTACACTGAATACCCCGTGGAGATGGGGGACCCCAACATCCTCATCTGCTTCGTGGACCTGTTCTCCCCTCCGGTGCTGAACGTGACCTGGCTGAAGAACGGGGAGGTGGTCTCTGAGGGGGTGAAAGAGACGGGTTTCCTCCCCAGCACAGACAATTCCTTCTCCAAGTTCTCCTACCTGCCATTCATCCCACAAAACGGAGATTTCTATACCTGCCGAGTGGAGCACTGGGGGCTCCCAGAACCCCTGACCACGATATGGGGTAAGTCAGCAGGTATGGCTCTGCTTGGTCTCGTTGTGGAGATAGGGAGGTGCTGGACTCAACTTCACCCTCCTTTCAGTTTTAGAAAGAATTGGGATTCCTTTTTAGTTTGAGGTTTAGGAAATTCCATTTTGGTGGTGATTTTCAGGGCAAGAAAGGAGAAAGAGTTGTTGTGGGGTGAAGACAGCCCTGGCTTCTCATTCTGCAGGGCCCAAAGTCCCCTGGACACAACAGAGAGTCAATGTGAAGACCATTTTGGTGACAAATAGGGTGACACACTTCCTCCCACTAATCTCTGAACTCCAACCTGCCCTTCCAAATGCGTTGTTGTTGTTGTTGTTGTGTGGCTTCACTTCATTTCTGGCTTCTGGTGACCCTCTCATGGGGTTTTCAGGGGCTGAGACTCCTTCACTCTCAAAGGCCACCCCTTGGATTTCCATGACCAAGAAGGGAAATCAACCCTGGTCTTGGGATCTGTAGTCAGGCCTCTGCAGCACTTCCCAGGACCAAAGCGTTGGAAGAGACCACAAGGGCCACCCAGTCCAACCCCACAGGTTCATAGTTAAGGCATTGAAACGCAGAACAAAACTAGGGTTGTCAAATGCCCTACCAACTTATGCCTACCTGCTGGAATTTTGGGTGGCTGTAAACCCCCAACGTTTTACTTGCATCTGCACTGACAAAACAATATGCACTAAAATCATGGAGATGTAATATATAGGAAAAATAATCCTTGTTGCCCCTGAACTGGCAGCCCAAGTCAGATGACACCCAGGGGTTGCGACACCACAAAGACTCTTGTGTTTTGCTTAAGGGAAGTTTATATGGAATACCACCTGCTTCAGGAGACCCTCCTTTGACAGATAAACACTTGCAGGCCAGGAAGGGAGGGATGCACTGAGAGGCAGAAAGGCAACAACTCCAACAAAAGGAAACAGCTACCCCTGGCTTGATACTTGGCCAATAACAAGTAGAAACTTCGTGATAGCACAGAACTAGTGTAGTTGTGTTGAGTAACCAATGTACGGTAGGGTTCAGAGACTGAGTGGAAAGGAATGGCGGCACACTTTCCCCCACCCACCTTCTCCTGTCCCATCCACAGAGTCTAAGGGACCCACTCCCCTCCCAGAGACGGCTGAGAATGTGCTCTGTGGGCTTGGCCTGGCCATCGGCATCCTGGGCATCGTCGTGGGCACCGTCCTCTTCTTCAAGGCCATGAGGATGACCAATCACAACATCCGCAGAGGACGGAGTGGTGGCCTGTGAGTCCAGTCTGTTTCGCATCAGCCTAGCAAAGGGGACACCCCTCCCCCAATGCTAACAACTTCGCCATGGAGAGAGGGGGTGGGGGCAAAGAAGGCTTTCTTTGGGAGGGGAAGTCCTGACTTCGGGTCACCCTGGGATCCCACCTTCACCAGGGGTGCTTCAATGAATCTGTACTCCAGATGTGCATTTCACCCTGCTCAACCCTCCTAACCTCCTTCTTTCTTCAGGTGAGAAATATGGGAACTTCTTTCCCTGCAACAGCCTCCACAAGGACGTCTCCTGATTTGCTGCTCTCGCTATCACATCCAAGGCCAGCTTCCCTGCCGCCATCAGCCGCAAGAGCCTCCCATTAGCTCTGTCTTGACTCCCTCATAGAACCCCACTGGGGACCCAAACCAAAGAGACTGGGTGCAACCAACTCAGTGCTCCACCATTACCCATCCATCCACCTGGCAACCAGTAACATATGTGATGGCTGAGTTTGGTTGCTCTTCTTGTGTGCCTTCAAGTTGTTTCTGAGTTTGCTTTGCCTTTTGGGCAAGGTTTCCTCAGAGGTTATTTGTCCTTGCCTTCCTCTGAGGGCCGAGGCTGAGAGAGTGTGACTTGCCCAGGGTCACCTAGTGGCTTCCATGGCTGAGTGGGTCCAGACCCTGCTCTCCAGAACCCCCGTCCAGCACTCAAAGGCCCATTACTCTCCTCTCAGCCTTGGCGAGGGAGCCTTTCCCAGTTCTGCGTATCCCTGAAGGAACTCTCTCCTCTCATTCAGCTTCAGACAGGAGGATACCCCCAGCTTATTTGGTGAAGACCCTAAAATCACTCTATTTGGGGGAAAGAGGTCATGCCTTCTGTTACTCTTCCAGACTGATTTTGCAAAATCCTAACCTTGCCTAACAAACAAAGCTTAAATATTGAAGCTGTGTTTTAATATAATGAGCTTTAATGGCATACTTATTCATCTGTACTGTTTTAAATCTGTTTGATTGCTTTGACTGTGCACATGCCTGAGACCTTTGAGTAAAAGGTGGTGAATAAATAAACAGATTGTTGGATTTGGGAGTTCCAGCTTTGTTTACTTATTTATGCTGCAACATGAAGAACCTGGCCATATAGCCCCAAAAACCTACAACAACCCAGTGATTCCAGCCATGAAAGACTTCAACAATAAACCAAATGGTGACAAAATGTGTTTCTCGCCAAACACATTTGTTCCATGAGTGTCCACTGGGAACAGGTGCAGGTCAGTCGCGCCCCATAGATTGGGGTCAGGGGACAGGTGGGGTCCCCACAACGAGTGTTCCCAGGACTAGAGTTGTGCAATAGTTGCTTAGAGATGGACCGGGAATGAGATGCCAAACAGGATTAGGAAGGGCATATTTATTTATTTGTTTGTTTGTATTGTTGAAGGCTTTCATGGCCGGAATCACTGGGTTGTTGTAGGTTTTTTCGGGCTATATGGCCATGGTCTAGAGGCATTCTCTCCTGACATTTCGCCTGCATCTATGGCAAGCATCCTCAGAGGTAGTGAGGTCTACTGGAACTAGGAACCTGAAAAACTTACTGGTATTTCACTTCACTTCACTTTATTTCTTAATTAGTCGCTCTCCACCAAGGTGCTCCGAGCGACTTACAGTCTAAAATAGCATTTACACAATATAAAAACATTCAACATAAAAACATTCAACAGTGACTATTTGGCAAATTAGATCTGATTACTTAAATGCACAACCAAACAGCCAAGTCTTGAGTGCCTTTACAAAAGGTCGCAACTCCGACATTGCTCTAATGTATGGAGGCAATGAGTTCCACAGAATTGGAGCAGAGGTCGAAAAAGCTCTACGCCTTGTAGCTTCCAGGTGTCCCTCCTTCCCTAGGGCCCAGCATGTAGAGGAGATTTTCCTGGGTGGATCGAGGTGACCACTGATGGAGAAAAGGAATGAGGCGGTCCCTAAGATACAAAGGTCCTTGGCCATCTTGAGCTCTAAATGTCAGGATCGGGATCTTGTAAGAGATCCGATGTTCTCTTGGTAGCCAATGCAGTTGTTGCAGAATCGGTGTAATATGGGATCTTAGAGATGATCCTGCTAGCAGCCTGGCCACCGCATTTTGGACCATCCGAATCTTCTGGGTTGCTGACTTCGGAAGACCGGCATATAAGGCATTGCAATAGTCCAACCTCGTGGTGACTGTTGCGTGGATGACCGTTGCCAATGCTTCTACCGAAAGGTAGGATGCCAATTTCCTTGCCTGGCAAAGATGAAAAAAGGCCTGCTTCCTTAAGGCAGTGATCTGGGTCTCCATCATCAGCGATGAATGCAACACAACCCCAAGGCTTTTAACAGTGGCAGATGGAACCAGAGCTTCCCCATCGAAATCAGGCAGAGACTGGGTTAATTCTGGCATCTGGCCAGGCCAGAGGATCTCCGTTTTAGCAGGATTCACTTTGAGTCTGCTTGCTCGCAGCCAACTCATCACTGCTTCCAAACACAGCCTAAAGTTCTCAGGAATCGCAGTTGTCCCAGGTTCGAGACGCAAGAGTAGCTGGGTATCATCTGCATACTGGTAGCACTCTAGGCCAAAGCCCGACACATGGCCATATAGCCCGAAAAACCTACAACAACCTATTTATATATTGTATTTATTTATTTATTTATTTATTTACAGTATTTATATTCTGCCCTTCTCACCTCGGCAGGGGACTCAGGTCGGATTACAAGGTACACATATATGGCAAACATTCAATTCCAAAGACACACAGCAGATATAGACAAGCAGTCAGAGGCTAACTTTTTCTGGCTGCCAGGGGAGCTGTCGCTTTCATCGTCCACCTGCGACACTGATGAAGTACTTCCACATTCCCCGCATGCTTTTTTGCTGGAGTGCTTTGCTGGAGTCTTTTTTATGGCCTTGTAAATTAGTTACATTAGCCTCCCCACACATAGGTGGTACCTAAATATCCTACTTGACAGATGCAACTGTTTTTTGGGTTGCAAACAAGCTACACAATTGGTTGGAAGCTCACTCTGACCCGGGCTGGCTTCGAACTCATGACCTTTTGGTCAGAAGTGATCTTAATGCAGCTGACACCCAGACAGCTGCGCCACAGTCCTGGTGCTCATACAACAGACTCCCAGAGCAGCAGCAAAGCAAAACAGCATAGGAAGAGTTCCCTACATACATCTCCTATCTCCCTTTGTGTGACAATCACACCATACGTTTACAGCACATTGTGGACTTTGATCAAGACTGGCAGGAGACCTAAATATTCAGAGGAGCCGGCAATGTAAGGCAAGACTGAATGGCTGAAAGAGTAGGTGGTACCAGAACGATGGGTGTTATGGATAGGCGTCTTGCCCTCAAAGGATTCCTTCATGTCCTAAATATGGAAGGAGGCCTATAATCCAAGATAGCTCTTTCCAACCTTGAGGGTAAACAACAGAGCAGAGGTGGGCAAAGAGTGGTCCATGGGCCATAGCTGTCCTTCAACAAGATATCAGGGGTGGGTTGTCCCCTAGGGAGACCATGCACAGGCTGCAGAGGCAGTGGGGCCGGTCTGGCTGGGCACCCAAGACTTCTCCAGCCCAAGTTGAAGGGTCTCCAATGCCACCATCCTTCTTTGCCTCGTGCTCTGAACCTGGCCTTCAGGGAAGGGGCTCCATGGGTCCAGTGAAAGGGGAAGAAGGGAGGTCTGAGGACAGGGGCACTTCGCCGTGTTCTGTAGAAGTCGACTGTGGTGTTGGCTGGCAGGAGAAGCTGTGGCATTGGCAGCTGAACGTGGGAAGTCGGCCAGGAGGACACCATCTCCACATTCCCTCCCAGGGACAGCAAGGAGAGGAACCAGCCCTAAATGCCCCAGGTGCTGTCTGATCTTGGACAATAGTTGGGACAAGTCCTGGTTAGTACATGGATGAGGGGGCGCCAGGCAATGCCAGGTGTTATAAGCAATGGGACTGGCATAAAACCCTGTGGAATTTGTGGGGGCTCCATAAGTTGACAGGCACCTTGAAGACCCATAGAGACAAATGAGGAGCCCAGAACGCATCCCTGGCATCAGCAGGTTCTTCTCTTCTTGCAGAGGTGGAAATTCATTTCTGAGCTACACCACATGATGCAGCGGATCATTCTGAGACCTTTTTGCAGAACACTCTTAACCACAAAGAACTGACCTCCTTCTGGGTTCTGTGAGGGTTGTGTTAGGAGGCTTCATGGAAATAAGGAACTGGGAATGATGGAATAAGCAGAGGGACAGAAGAGGAGGAGCAAGGGCAGGTGATGCCTCTCTTCCAGCACAGAAGGAGCAGTTTCCCTGAGGAAGGTGGGGAGGGGGTCCATGGAGGGAGGATATGCAGGACATCCATCCATCCATCCATCCATCCATCCATCCATCCATCCATATATCTATGTATTTACCCATGCACTTCCCAAGATGGCACTCCCATCCAGAGGACCCTGTGACTCCTGCCAACAATGGATAAGGGCAATACTTGGCAGACCTGTTGCAACTCAAAGTAAGCTTCACCTTGCTTCCAAACACCACCACACAAGAGCTGTAGTTTTATAGTTTAT